TAATTGTCTTGAGTTTACTGGATATTTATGAATGTTATTTTGCCATACTATGGGCTAAATTTAAGTTTGCTAATACTTTTAAACATTTGTTTTTATCTACTGTATATTTTTAGGGGCTTTACTCCATCTGAGGCAGAGTTATTGTTTCTTCAGGAGGTGGTGAAAATGGAAGGTTATGGTCATGAAAACTATGCAGCCAAGGTATGAACTGGGAGGAGGAGGAGTTTTGAATAAGATTAAAAAAATACAGAAGAACATAAAGCTTCTTAAAAAAGAAGGCTTTGGGAAATACAGATATTGCATTTAAAAGTAAATCTAAGTGAAGCTGGCCCCAACTCTCTGTTACTAATTGCACAATCTTAATTTTAAACATTTACATTTTTTTTGTTTTTTGTTTCCTAGACAAGAATTTGGAATACATAGAGGCAGTGATAATCTTGATTTGGTGAAAAAAGAAAAAAATTAATATGGATGGGCAAAATAACATTACTTCACAGCATTTAATGAACCTAATAGTCCTAAGCAGCAAAGTATTTCTTATACCATCTGTATAGTCACAGCTTATTCTGGCTAATAATTCAACCTTGTCATCTCTAACCTAGTTACACTTACATTTGGCCCAGATTTTCCAGTCTGTTTTGAATTTCCTAATTTTGATCTAGCTCAGACAAAAAAAAGTTGCCCAACTTTTGATGCAAGATCATCACATTAGATACAACTTAACAAACCACACCAGCAATGTTTGTGAGAATTTTCACAGAAGCTCTTTTTATAGCAAGATCTGCTGCAATCCAATAAATAAACATAGCTTTAAGGTCCAAAGTCTCATTCATAACGTACTGGAAGAAGCTAGTTGTGTAAGGAACGTACGTGAGAGAATAGAATGCCACGTGGGTGGGTAAGGGGTAGGATGGAGCAGGTTTGATTGTTGGGATGGGTCAGATGTTTCGAGGGTCTCTCTGTTTAATTAAGCTATTAGTTTCATAGTTATCCAAGAGTCAAAACTGATTTTTATCCCTCTAACATTTCCTGAGTAACTGTCCTGGTAAGTATGTTAGAACATTCTGAAGACACCAGCTCAAAGTTGAATACGTTATTGGAGATTTCCAGACCACGTAATTATCCATCAGAAATTTAAACTTCCCAGATAATTGCTGCAATGCCAAAACATTGGGCCTTAACAATGGGTTCTAATGCATATCTTGCAGGGTTGGTCTTTGGTAGAATGAGTCCATTAAAGTTTAGTGTATGAATGATACAATGTAATGGATCATAGTTGTAATGCATGTGGCAATGAAGCTTAGAACTAGTCAATGCTGAAATGTACTCTTTGGAATGTTCCATTCCATTACATCAATAGAAGTAATTACAACAAATTTGCGTAAATCTATTCCTGTAATAAATTCAGAGCTTTTGCATATCGGCATACTTATCTAGTTGAATTTTGGTTTTCAATATTTATTTTTATAAACAGACTTAATGAAGCAACATCAAGACTTGTTCAGCTTAGTGTAGATGGTAGTCTATCAATACCCCTTTGTAATTTTATGTTAAGTTAATGGGCAAAGCTGTGGCAGATGGAATTCAGTATGAGCAAGTGTGAGGTTATCCATTTTGGACTGAGAAAGGATTAATCGGAGCAATTTCCGGATGGTATGAAATTAAATACAGTGGATATCTGAAGAGACTGGGGATTCAGGTGAATAGATCTTTAAAATGTCACAAGTAGGTGCAGAAAATAATCAAGAAAACTACTGGAATGCAGGCCTTTGTGTCCAGAGGGCTGGAGTACAAAGATGCAGAAGTTATGCTAACGTTATACAAAACAGTGGTTAAAGCCGACTTGGAGTACTGTGTGCACATCTGAGCACCACATCTTAGGCAATATATATTGGCTTAAGAGGATGTACAATGTAGGTTTACAAGAATGAAACATAGACTTCAGGGGTTAAGTTATGAGGAGAAATTACACAAATTAGGCCTGTTTTCTCGAATTCAGAAGGTTAAGGGGTTATCTGATCGAAGTCTTCAAGATTTAATAGGAAAAGGTGGAGTAGATAAAGATAAACTACTTCCATTGTTTGGAGATCCTAAAACTAGGGATACTGTGTGAAAATCGGGGCCAGACTTTCCAGGAGAGTTGTTAGGAAGCACTTGTTTACGCAAAATGTTTTGAAACTCTCTTGCATAAACGTCAGTTGTTAATTTGAAATCTGAGATTGATTAACAAAAATTTATCTAAGGTCTTAATGGATATGGGCCAAAGGCAGATACATGGAGTTAGGCCACAGATCAGCCATGATCTCATTGAATAGTAGAACAGACTCAAGAGGCTGAATGGCCTACTCCTGTTCCTATGTTCCAATGTTTTATACATTACTGGTAATAGCTAAATTTTTATAAGCAATTATTACTGTCCTACTAATCTGAAGTTTATACTTCATGTAAATGCCCCACAAGGTAGAAACTTGAGCCTGCAAAAACAGGGTGATTAAATAAGTTAGATTATTACGAATATATTGCAGATAAGAAAATGAAGACTGTTCTTTGGACATGGTGCTCCCAACAGAGTTTCATCTCTTGGTTGCACTGTAGGTGAAAGTATGACCCATTAAATCTACATATCAACAATCGCTTTGCAGTAAATTTAAAGTTGTATTATTACCAAGTTTACTTTCATTGCAGTCTACACTTTTCTCTCAACATCTTTTGTGGATGCTTTGCAGTTTGCATCAACAGACCCCAGTTTTTTTATGAAGTGAAATCTACATCTTTGTGTACTGATGTGTGAGAGCTGACACATGTATAACAATTAATGTCAAATTGTGGTGAATTGTTTACTGGAACGTGTCTGGAATGGCACCTGGACTCTGCCACTTTCGCTTCAGATGACAGAAAAACATGTTGCAAAACAACTGTCTCAAAGCTAGTTCACCACCAAATTTATTAATAGAAAACCAAATAAGTGCCTGAAGTAATAAGACAGTACGCTATGGAAACTTGCTAAACTTGAAAATTTCAATTTTATTGAAGTGAGAAATGTTTACAGATTTTTCAATAAATTCTTGGTTAAATTATGGCAACGATTTAATGAGATGATTGCTCACAAAGTTCATAGTCTGCATTTCTCATAAAATTTAAACGGACAGCAAGATTATGAAATGCTCACTGTTCTTAAGAAAAAATTCTTAAATCAGTGGTTCTGCCACCAGCTTTCTTTTGCTTGCATGACTTTTATCAGAAATTCCACCGCTGATTATTTTTAACCTCCAATTGTTTATTTAAATTTATTCTAAACAAATAACCAAATTAAATTGGAGACAGTTTGTAGGTCTAGCTGAATTCATAATTTTATTTATTGAACTGCATAATTAAAAATAATTGACCAACTGTAACATACCAAACTGACCAGAAGTAGAACAAGTCTGCAGTGTATCAAGTCAGATTTTTGGAGTGCAGGAAGAACTTGTGAGCCAATATGTCCAAGGAAGGCAGGAGAGAGGAGAATGATTTTTGAGACAGTAAACTAAAGAAAGCAAAAAATCTACTTTCAATCACCACACCAGCAAGTACAATGACTAGAGCAATCCATAAATTTGTGAAGATTGCCATTTCTTTTTTCTCCTTTTCTCTTGTCATTATGATACAACTTGGCACAAATTCCTGAATAGATATGACTCATATGAACTCTTAAAGGTCTATTGATTCCTTGTCACTGCATAGTTCTGATTTTTTTTTTAATGTTTATAGGATAGCCAAGGAAATGATCTCCTTTTAGGTGCATGTTTGGAAGGCATCTTTGTGAAGCACAAAAACAGCAGACCTCCCTCTGTCTTCAAGTAAGGACATGAATTTATTTAATAATTTAGTTAGTTAGTTCCTGCATAATAGTATAAAAGAGAAACATTTTAACAAAAATTGAATTCCCAAGTGATGCTTCTAAATTAATGTTAAAAACACTATTGTTGCAATTTTCTAATCAGTCTACCAATCAAAAATGAGTAATTTTGTTTTTCTTATTTCTAGCAGAGCTCTTCTGTTGTCATCTAAGCTACTATTTTAGGGTACACTTGATTCCAGTTCTGATGATTTGCTAAAGGCTGCTTGGTTTGGAAGGCTTGAGTATGCGCACTTAATCGAAATACATATTTTGACCTGAGGTTCCCAGTCATGAGTTTATCATAACCCTTTTTTTAGAACCTGCAGTAGATTGTTCGCAGAAGATCTTGAAGATCCATTCTGAGAGTGACTCTCAATGCCTTGAGGTACCAGCTACTTGTAGATAGATTGGTTCTTGATATCCAATGTCCGTTTTTTTTGCATAGTAGTGCGAGTTTTCAAATAGATGAGAAGTGGTACAAATAGCAGTTGATTTCACTGTGTCAATTCAGTGCTTCAAGTGTGCATTTAGTTAAGTTTAAAGAGTGCACTTACGTGGCTAGAAAAAACATTGGTGAAATGTATAGGGGTGCAACTAGAAGGAAGAGTCAGATAATTCTTCTATCTTTTGGGAAGACAGGCATCTCAACCCATTGTCAAGTTCTTCTTTCTTCCCAAAGAAGAAGAGGCTAATGTGACAGAAATGAAAGAAAATGAGATCTGAAGTGCACATGAGCCTACAGGTAAATGCAATACCATCCCAATACTGGTCCCCTGGCAACTGGGGTGCAGCTGCATCAGGTGACGTGAACATGTGACAGAGAGGCTTTAGATAATTTTTGGACTTTCAGAACATTTTTGATAAAGTTCTTCACAAGGTACTTGGCAAAAGTTGAAGCCCATGCTTCAATTGAGAACAAATGAAATACCTGATCAAGAAACTTCTTGAGTGACAAGAGAATTACACAGAGATGCTGGACAGGTCCTCTAATTGGCAGGAGGTAGTTACTGTAGTTCCCAAATTATCTATGTTGAGGCCTCAGCTATTCACGATTTATGAATGACTTGTATGATGATATAGGTAAAGTTGGATATCTGGTTTCTAAAGTCTTAAGGCATTGTAAGCATTGTAGATGTATGTATAAAATCAAATATTAATAGATTAATGGAATAGGTGAAACTGTGATGAATGAAGTTAAATATGGGTAAATGAGAGCTCATTGGCTTTGGACACGAGAGGATATATCAGAATACTTACTAAATGATGAAAAGCTAGTATTAGTGAAGGTGTAAACAGAATATAGAATTCCTATAGTGCGGAAGCAGGCCATTCAGCCTATCAAGTCCACACCAACCCTCCAAAAACCATCCCATCCAGACCTTTTTCTTCTTCTCTTTTTTCCACCACCTCCCCCCCTCCACCCCCCAAAAAAAAAATGTCTGTAACCCTACATGTTCCATGGCTGATCCATTAACCTGCACATTACTGGAAACTATTGGCCAATTTAGCGCAGCCAGTCCACCTAACCTGCTCCCCTTTGGACTTTGGGAGGAAACCAGAGCATCTGGAGGAAACCCACGCAGATGCTGGGAGAATGTGCAAACTCTACACAGATAGTCACCCAAGGCTGAAATTTAACTTGAGTCCCTGGTGCTGTGAGGCAGCAATGCTAACCACTGAGCCACCATGCCGCCCCAAGCTCCATGTACATGGATCGTATAAAATGGTACAAGTGATGATCAAAGAGCCTAATGGAATGTTGGCTTGTTTGTCCAAAGGATTAGAATGCAGCAATTTAAAAGTCATGCTTAGACGATACCCGGAGCAGTGCAGGTTGTTTTGGGCACTGTACTTTAGGAGGAATCTATTGATCTTATAAAGAGTGCAGTGCAGATTTATGTGTACAATTCCTGGAATTCAAGGGTTGAACTGTGAGAAATGTTAACATAATCTAGTGTTGTAATTTCTTCATTAAAGGGGACTCAATTTAAGTTTTCAAAGTACAATGTTAACAAAAACTAATACAACTGTGGAGCAAAGCTTAATGTTAGAGTGAGGCATTTTTCAGAAATGAATGTAGTCTGAGAAATTTTTGAGTTATTTTAGTGTCAGCCATGGTTCCGATGGTTGCACTTTCCCTTTTGAATTGGGTTCATGTACCATTCCAGGATTTAAGAATAAAATCAAGGCTGACACTTGAGGGCAGCACTGACAGTTTTGCACTCCTCCGAAGTGCTGTATTTCAGTCAAAGCCCCATCTGGGTGCTGTGGTGAATTTATAATATCCCATAGAATGTTTTGATGACAAACATGAGATCTCTTCCCCAGGATCTTGGCCTGAATTTATGCTTTAATTAAAATTACACAAAGTACAGATTATCTTGTCATTATAGCCTTGCTTTTATGGAGTTTGCTGTGCAAATATTTGTGACTATATTTCCTACATTAAAGCAATGGGTGTGTCGGCTACTGTTGAAGAAGCCATAGGAGTTACTCCAGTGCTGGTGTTTGTTAAAGCCCCAGTGCATCAATGATGGATGGAGACAGTGTTCAAAGTCACAGATGATGTCTGGCAGATGAACTCATTGGGCTGCTTTAATTTTCTTTGGAGTTGCACTCATTCAGGCAAGTGGAAACTATTCCATCACATACCAGACACATGTTGTGTGGATGGTGGACAAACTTTGGGGAATTGGATGGATCGACTGTTGCAAAATACCCAAGCCCTAACGTGTTCTTATATACACAACATTTATGCGGCTGGTCCGTTTAAGTTTCTGATCAGTGGTGACCCCAAAATGATGTTGGTGGGGACTTTGGTAATTGGATATTGGTGGGGATTCTCAAGGGGAGTTTGTTAGATGCTTGCTGGAGATGTGCTTTGCAGGTGAGAAAATGCTGTCTGATAGTCCTGTTGCTGAAACCTCTCATCATTTTGCTGATGATCAAGAGTTGATCCAGACAATATAATTGGTGACTGTCTTGGATTTATAAACGTAAAATACCTGAACAACTTTTTCAGGGAGATGCAGAACAGCTTGTTCTGGATACAGCTATGTTTGGAAGTCTCATTTTTCAGTCAGAATGTTGTCAGGCTCTGCGGCCTTTGCATGTATCCATTTGCTCAACATTTCTTGGCATCTGTCATGGAGAGGCCTTCAAAGGGTGGTTGTGATGGATAATTTTGAAGCTTTTGGCTGAAAATTGTTGCAACTTCAGACTGGTATTTTTCAATAGCAAATGAGACTCTAGCTTCATTAAACATGGGTGTTTGTGAAGCCTTCTCATTAACGGTTTCATTATCTACCACCATCTTGAATGGATATGATATATTTGCAGAGCTTAAATTGATTAATTGGTTGAGGGTTTGAGTTTGTAGCACGCATGTAGCCTTGTGTTGAAGCTTTGCATCTCATTTCCAGTATACCTGGTGTTTCTTTTAGTATGTTTTTCTATACTGTTGTCTTGACTCCAGATAGATTCCCGGGTTTGATGGCGATGAGAATGAGAAATATGTTGGCCCTTGAGTTTACCGATTGCGATGGAATACATTCTGTTGATGTTGACAGCTCACAGTGCTTCATATGTGGCCCAGTTTTGAATTGTCAGGTGTGCTCTGAATCCAATCCAATTACCAAAGTGGTGTGAAGATGGGACTTTGTTTCCAGATGCATCTGCAGCAGATAGATTGGTGAGAATGATTCCAAGTCAGTTTTCCCACATGATTCAGATTGCCACAGATCTGATATTGCAGCTGTCCTTTATAGATTATAGCAATAGACATAATTGATCTACATCTTAAATCTTTCTAATTAAATTATCATTTTTAAAATTAGTAAGGCTAAGGGAGCACTTGCTACTTTGTGTGGGAAAGAATTTTATAGTTCTACTTCCCTTTGTATGAAGATGTTTGCAAATTCTCTCCTTAGTTATATGGCTCTGATTTTAAGATTGTGTCCCCTTGTCCTGAACTCCTGCACCAGGGAAAACATTTTCTTTTATCCACCTGATTAATACCCTTCAAAATACTAAAACCTCAATAAAATTAGCTCCTTAATCCTGAGTTCGTGAATTGAGCAATATCAACATTTTAGGGAATTTTTCAGATATTTACTACCATTTTCACGCCTAATTTGCCAACCTGTAATATGAGCTACTGCTCCCTTGTTTTGGATTCCCACTAGGGGAAATAGTTTCTCTGGACCTTCAGGGCAGCAGTGGTTAGCACTGATGCCTCACAGCGCAGGAACCCAGATTCCATCCTTGGGTGACCGACTGTATGGAGTTCGCATGGTCTTCCTGTGCCTGCATGGGTTTCTGCCGGATGCTCTGGTTTATTCCTACATTCCACAGATGTGCAGGTCAGATGGATTGGCCATGCTAAATTGCCCTGTCGTGTCTAGGGATGTGCAGGCTAGGTGGATTAGCCATGGTAAATGCAGGATTACGGGGATAGGGTGACCGTGGGTCTGGGTGAGAGTATTGGTGCAGATTCAATGGCCTCTTTCCGCACTATAGCAATTCTAGTCTGTTCAATGACTGTTGAGTTTATTCATCATTTTAAACCTTTCGATTAGATTATCCCCTTCTTTTAAACTGAATAGAGTACAAACCAAGTTCATTCAATCTGTGCCAATGATTTAACTATTTGATCTGCAGTATCGTTGATTCTAGTAAATCTGTCCTGTACTTGCTCTACAGTCAATGCATCTTTCTAAAGGTTCTGTGCCCAGAACTGATGGTGATTCAGTTGAGAGTCTGAGCAAGGCTATGTGCCACTGAAGCATCATTTCCTTATCTTTGAATTCCAGCTTTTTTGCAGGCCAACACTGTCTATTTGATTATTTTTGTACCTATACACAAAGATTTGGTAATTTGTACACGTGGATACTTAAATCCTTTACTTCTCATCACCTTATGTCTCACAATTGAGTGAAAACAGTTGGTTTCTCAGGTCTAAAATGGATAACCTCTCACTTCCCAACACTGAATATTTGTTATTAAACACAAAGCAAAAATTGGTATTCGCATTTTTAGTTAGTTTGTTAGCTTGAATTAAAATATTCTGCTTTCTTAATTGATAAAGTGCATCACTGATGTTAGCTGAGTCTAGTTGCTTGCAAAATCATGAGGAAACACAAATGATTGCTTCTAGAAGGTGGATGTTTTTAAAAGACTTTGAACTAAAAAAAAATGAATAATTTTCACATGAAGTACTTTTTTCTTCTCTCCTATCCACTCTAATGTTTTCTGTTAAGCAGCTGGGATGACTAAATCATATTATGACACTGAATTAATGCTGTGTGACTTGATTAGTTTCATGTGCGTTGCACCTAATTGTTTCCTTGCTAATAAACATGCAGAATCGCTACTAATTTAGCTAAAAATGTTTAAAATCTTCAGTTGATACAGAAATGACTATTTTGAAAATGTTATCTTTTTCATTTTAGATGGAATGACATATCTAACTTGTCTCACAACAAATCCTTCTTTGCATTAGAGCTGGCAAACAAAGAGGAGACCATTCAGTTCCAGACTGTGAGTGCTCTGAAACTATTATTTTCAGTCCTTTTAATGTATAAGTTTAATATTTTGCACTGTAACAAAGTGAATTAAGGAATGCACTGATCTGAGGAAAGACGCATCAATTTGTACTGTTGCTTGAAGATAATGACTCATGCTGGATTGTGGCTTTAGAAGGGAAGAGTAATATATCCTTCAATGTTGTTGCAATGTTTCCCTAGTTACAATAATCCTTACTTGATTAATAGTTAAAGTCAAGAGATAGGGATATTGCATCTGAGGAGGTAATATCAATTTATTTTTGCACTGCAGAACTATGTTCAGAGTAATAGAACCCCAAAAGTTGGAAGAGTCTTCAATTTGATTTCCAGCTTGTTTACATTAATATTTTAGTTAAGGCATTTATCTGGCTAATAAAACATCATATTTCATTATTTGGACCATGCAAAAAGCATCACATTGTTTTATAACCCTTCGTAAATGGTTCATCTTTAATCTGAATTGGAAGTCAGGAAATTCCCAAAACTGAGCATTTGTAGGATTTGGCATGCAAAATAGTATTTTGACCAATGAAGCATATAGTGCTTAAGAGGCACTTAGCTGAAAATATAGAAGTACTTTAACCATGGGTCACAAGATCACAGTCTCAGGATATGGAATCGTCCATTTCGGATTGAGATGAAGAAACGCTTCAGTCAAAGGTTAATAAACCTGTGGAATTCCATACCACAGATGACTGTGGAGGCCAAGTCACTGAGTATATGCAAGAAAGTTTTTGTTTAGATTTTAAAATCGTTGAGGGGTATGGAGAAAAATCAGGGATAAGGCATTGAGATACATGATCAGCACGGTGGCTCAGTGGTTAGCTCTGCTGCCTCACAGCGCCAGGGACCCGGGTTCAATTCCACCCTCGGGTGACTGTCTGTGTGGAGTTTGCACATTCTCCCCGTTTCTGCGTGGGTTTCCTCCCACTGTCCAAAGATGTGCATGCTGGATGGATTGGCCACGCTAAATTGCCCATAGTGTTCAGGGATGTGTAGATTAGGTGGGTTATAGCAGGGTGGGTCTGGGTTGGGATGCTTTGAGGTTTGGTGTGGACTGGTTGGGCCGAAGGGCCTGTTTCCACACTGTAGGGATTCTATGATTCTGTGATTCATATTGAATTTCAAAGCAGATTTGAAGAGCAGAATGGTCCACTGCTGCTCTACGTTTCTATACTTAACTTAAAAAGTGAGGAGAAATGGACCAGGCCGTACCGGAAATCAATTGATATGGAACAAAGTGAGTAAATGGAGTTGAGTTAAAAATCAACTATGATATAATTGAATGCTGGAAAAAGTCTGCGCTTGTAAGTGTTTGCTGAATGGTCATCTATGGGAACATTACTGGCTGACCTGTCCTTTGGTAGAATATTCTAAGAAGCAGTTATAGATTATTCAAGTCATCTTCCTTGTCTCTTTTTCAAATTGAAGTCGTTGCTAGTCTTTAGCTCTCTTTTCTGATAAATGGTTACACCTGAAAAGTTGAACATGTCTCTTTGCTATGTACATCCATAATTTTTTTCTGCTAACTTTTCATACAAGTGGGAAATTATAGAAGCTGGTTGTCACTGGTTTTAATTTGATTTCTACAGGAAGATATGGAAACATCCAAATATGTATGGCGAATGTGTGTTGCACGCCGCAAGTTTTATAGTCTGAATAAAAACTGTAACTTGTAAGTATATAGTTCATCTATTAAGTAGTATATACACTATTTCTGGTATTGTTTTTTGAAATGAAACTGAAGATGCTTGGAATAAAATGGCAATCTTAACTTTAATTTCTATTTTCCCTAAGTTTAAAGATTCACTTGTGTCATCCAGAGGTGACAGTTCTGCGAAATGTTTGCTTTTTTTTGTCAAGTATCAGTTGGGCAGTGTTTAGGAAACAGTAATCATTGTATTATAAGGATTAGGTTGGCTATAGAAAAGGACAAAGACCAATTCAGGTTAAGACTGATTGATTGGATTAAGTAGGGGCAAGGTAAGCAGGTAATCGGTCCAGATCAATTGGAATCTAAGGTTGGCAGGCAAAACAGCAACTGAACAGTAGATGGCCTTTAGAGAGAGCTAGCGTACAGACAAGGATATTCTCATGAAGTGGAAAAGCAGGTAACCTGATCCTCCTCTCCCTGAATGATAAAAGCAATGGACATTGAGGTGAAAAAGAAATAATGTGCAAATGATGGAAGTCCGGTAGGTAAAGAAACAGACTGAATATAGAGATTCTGAAGGGAAATGAAAAGGCATATAAAACAAACGGAGAGACAGTATGAAAAGTGGCTCACAGCTAATGTAAAAGGGAATCCAAAAGTCTTGAATAGGCAGTAGTGAAAAGAGGGGTGCAGGTGATTTAAGGACCAAAAACAGGACTTGTGTGTGCACGCGGAGGCCTGGTTGAAGTACTTCATGGATACCTGCTATTTCTTTGCCAAAGAACATGATGCTGCACAGGTTGTGGTGAATAAGGAGTTAATTCAGAAACATGGTTGTGTTTAAAATGGATAAGGTCATCAATAAGGTATTGGATAGGCTGACCATGTAAAGTTGATGATTCACTGTGGGACTGGATGGTATGCATGCAAGTATATTCTCAGAAATAGGAATGGAAATTGCAGAGGTGCTGGCCATAATTATGCTGTCTTAGCGAAGGGCCAGAGGACTGGAGAATTGCAAATGTTTATATTCCTTTTCAGAAAAAGGATATAAAGAATAACATGGAAACATCAGGCCAGTCATTTTAACCTCTGTGATGGGGAAGCTTCTGGAAATGATGATAATTCGGGAAAAATGAATAGTCACGAGCAAATGTGGTTTAATTTAGGAAAGCTAGCACAGGCGTTATGGATAAATCCAATTTAACTAAATTTCTGGAGTTTATTGATGGGGAGAAAGAAGATTGACAGGAATGCTTTTGATGTGATGTACTGTAAAGATTTTGTATTTTTATTTCTTCTGTATTTTTTGTCATGGACTGAAATGAGAACAGAACTGTTTTAAAACCAAGGACTGGTGCATGGTTTGAAGGAAAGTAACCTTACATTTGCTGTTTACACAGCTTATGGTTCAAGCAGTAGCTGAGGTGTAGTTTGCAGACAAGCTGGAGCCAAAGGGTTCTATGCAAATGGAATGTTGGGTAGCAAAAAGTAGTATTTTGGTCTCTGGCCTAGTGACCATTAATTGGTGCCACATGCCTTCTGTCTGTCGTCAACTATGTAATTGGTTCTTGGGTAGCTGAAAAGCTTCGGGCTGAGAGCAGATACAGCAAAGTTCAGGACCTCTCATTGTTCTCTGTAGCGAAACCTTTTTTAAAGCTCAAGGAAAACAGCTTTCTTTTTTTACTCCAGTTGTTGTAAGCCATGAACTTTAATTCATAAGCCAGTGCTGTTTTGTAAGAGTGAACCAGGCCCTGTCCCTCCTGAAAACCAGTGAAAACATCTGAAAAAGGAAGCTCAAGAAGCAGCATTAAAATCAGTAGAAGAATGTTTCAGCAAATCCTGTCAACAGAGACCGCTGAACTGCTTTTTTCGCAGTCGATAACGCTCTCGTTTCTTGTCCTTTGTGGTTATGTATATGTATGTGTGAGGGGGAGTTTTAGCTCATAGTTATATGCTGACAGTTCATACAATTGCTTACCTGAAGCTAGAGTCTGTTCGTTTGTAATAAATAGTAATTCTTGCTAAGTGCAGAACCTGATCCATGGTTTCTATCAACCTGGGTCTTAAAAGACAGGTAAATTGGAAATTTTACTTCCTAAAATCTTTTGTGATGACTTCAGGAATAGTGAGCTTGTTTCCAGCACCTGAATGGGCCTAATCCTGCTGCTATGTCTTACGGTTGTCCTATGACATTCTAGATTTTATTAACAAGGGCATAGAAGATAAAAACAAAAGTTGTGCTAAACATATATATTTAAAAAAGCTCTGGCTTAGCTACGACTGGAGTGTTATGTCCAGTTCTGGGTGCCACATTTCAGCAATGATATGAAGGCATGAGATGAAATGAGGAAAAGATTCACAAGAATGGTTCCAAAGATGTGGAAATTCATTTACATCATTTGTAGAAGATGGAGCAGTAAGACTAGCATTCCCTCTAATTTTCTTCCTGCAGTGTGGACCTCCAAGGTTTATGCACAGTAGTGATTTCTGGCACCAGAAGTCAATGCCACACAGCTTAGAGGGACATTGCATAAGACAGAGGAGTGGAAGTAGGCAATTCAGTCATCAAATCTGCTCTGCCATTCGTTGAGTTCTTGGTTGATCTGATCACCCACGGACCACTTTACTGCCTTTACGCCATGACCCTTGATTCCCGTTCTGATTAAAAGTCTGTCTGTCTCAGCCTTAATAACTGAGTCTCTACACCCCTCTGCAATGAAGTTTTGAACAGATTTGCTACCCTTTGAGAGAAGAACTTCTTCCCTTTCTGTGTGTTAAATGTGTGACCTCTTATTCTGAGATTATGCCGTCTGGTCCTAGACTGTCCCACAACTAGAAGCAACCATTCAATGGGTGGCATGGTGGCTCAGTGGTTAGCACTGCTGCCTCTCAGCGCCAGGGACCTGGATTCGATTCCAGCCTCTGGCGACTGCTTCTGTGGAGTTTGCACATTCTCCCCGTGTCTGCATGGGTTTCCTTTTGTGCACCGGTTTCCTCCCATAGTCCAAAGATGTGCAGGGTAGGTGGATTGGCCATGCTAAATTGTCTATAGTGCCCAAGGATGTTTAGGTTAGGCAGGTTAGACTTGGGGAAAATCAGGGATAGGATAATGGGTCTGGGTGGGATGCTCTTTGGAGGGGCGGTGTGGACTTGTTGGGCCAAATGGCCTGTTTCCACACTTAGGGATGCTATGATGATTCTATCTACCCTGTCAAGCTCCTTAAGAATCTAGTATATTTTAAGAAGGTTGCCTTTCATCCTTCTAAATTCTGATGAGTCAGTTTGGAGAAAAGGAGGTTGAGAGGAGATTTGGTAGAAGTATTCAGTATCATGAAGGGTTTGGACATGATGCAAAGGGAAAAAGAATATTCCAGTGGTGAAAGGATTGAGAACTAGATATTGCAGATTCAACATAATTAACAAAAGAAACAGTGGCAACATGCCTGTGGTGGTGCAGGCAGGTTCAATTGAAGCATTCAAGAAGAAATTGAATCCTTTTTGAAAAGGAAGAGCAAAAAAGGTGGGAGAGTGGCATTGATTTAAATTGGGTGTAGATGTAATGAATTGAATGCCTCCTGTGCTGTGTGACCATTCTCTGTAATTCTATGATTTTTTTTTTCCATTTTCCCATTTACCTTTCCTTTCAAGTCCTTTCCTCCCAAATAAGGATGAGCCAAATAGTATTTTTTTTTGTCTTCCTTACCTGTCTATTATACAAGTTAGTAATCTCTGTCTGTCTGGAGGATTTTTCTTTCTTTATAAAATCATTGCATGGTTACAGCATGGAAGGACACCTTTCATCCTGTTTGGCCTGTGCCAGCTCTCTGCATGAACAGTTCACTCAGTCCCACTTTCCCACCTGTTGCCAGAAGTCTTGCAATTTTATTTAATCTTCAATAATTATCCACTGTCCTTTTAACAGCCAAAAATCATATATAATTGTTTAGACATTGGCATAAAATGAAATTCTGTGATCTGTAATCAGAACAATTTACATTGAGGTTTAAAAAAAACTTAGGAGAAATAAAATGAATAGACAAAATATTTAAATGACCAAATAAACTGGATGATCCTCAGTAACTTGAGTGCTTTTTAGTCATGTTTGCTTGTAGAACTCACTTGTTAACTTGAAGTATAACAGAAATTCAAACTGCAATAATTTCCCTTTCCTTAGGCTAGCACACTGAGACCATTTTTTATATACCTTGCATATTCCAAAGTATGGTCGTCTGCTGTGAATCAAGAACTGAATTTATGACCTTTCTTGTCTCTATAGCATTTGAAATGAAGTCCATCATTCTATTTTTTCTTGTGCTTTTGTACCTGTTTACTAATTTTTATTAGTTTATATATATGAACACCTAAATGTTACCGCCCCTAAGTTAATGTGCTAAAAATCGATCCTCGCTATTCCCAGCGTTATGGGCGGTGATGGCCTAGTGATTTTACTGCTTGACTATTAATCCAGAGACCTTGGTAATGTTCGAATTCTGCCATGGCAGATGGCGGAATTTGACTTCAATAATAATCTGGAATTAAGAATCTAATGATGACCACAAAACTGTTGTCAATTGTTGAAAAATCTCACCTGGTTTATTAATGTCATTTAGGGAAAGAAATCTGTCATCTTTACTTGGTCTGGTCTACATGTGACTCCACTGTGGTTGACTCTTAACTGTCCATTGGGCAATTGGAGACTGGCAACAAATCCTTGTCAGCAACATCCACATCCCGTGCATTATTTTTTTTAAAAAGTCAAACATTTAAAAATAAGTATTCAAAATTGATTTTTCAGACTCTGGTTGATAAGCACGGACCAAGTTTTGGTACTGAACAAGAATTGCTATTTATTACAAAAAATTAAACTCAAGCTACAGATAAACAGTTATAAACCATCTGCATAAAACGCTACAAATTAAAACTCTAATTCTTTTTTAAATGCTCCCTTACACACACTGACATAGACAGGAAAAAAAAATGACAATAGAAAAACTGGGAAAGCAGGTCAGTAGTCTTTGTTCGCAAGATCTGTTGAGTTGGTTCATGCTGATCAGAAGACTTTTTCCACCGGTTCGCAAGAGGCACAGAGAGTTGATTCACTTACTAAAGGTCTCTGACTTATCAACTTAAAAAGGCACAACTTCCAGCAACTACTGAAGATAAAATTGCTGTCTTCAATTTTTAAAGTGCATTTTCACTGCAGACAATAGATTGAGCTCCTGAGCTAGTGGAGATCTGATTACTTCTCTATATTTTGTTCTCAGGCCCAAGCTGTTCAGTTACCTGAAAACTAATTAAAGTTGGTGGTAAGCAAATATGTCAATTTGTCATCAATAACTGGTCACTAGTCCAGTGTTGCCAACCAGAGCTCCATCTGAATACAAAACCCCCTTGGCTTCAGTTCATCTGTAATCTAATTGTTAATTACGTTTTTTTCAAGCAGCTGTTTAAATGATGCTTACTATGAATGTGAGGTAACTTCTCAAAACATGCAGCAATCCTCTAAACATCTTTAAAACAGTTCATCATTTCAGTCCACAATTTTAAAAGCACAGAAATAAAAATACATCGTCTTTTGTGTAAATTCCTTGATGGCCACAGCTCGGTAATGTCAGGTCCAAGTCTCATTCTGGCTTCCCAAAGTGCTCCAGTGTGCCACGCTGTGCATGAATAGCCTGTCTCTATGCTTTGCCATTGTAAAATGATATGTGTATAGATTTTCAAATTTCTTTAGATTTTGTGTTACAATATGACCCATGTTGTAATATAGGAAGGATAAAGGTAAGCTGAAAATTGTGAGCTAAAATGTGACATCAAAAAACTGCAGATGCTGCAGATCTAAAACAGAAATTGCTAGTGAAACTCAACTGGTCTGGCAGCATCTGTGGGAAGAAAGAGTTAATGCTTCAAATGTTAATGAAGAGTCACTGAACTCAAAATGTTAGGTTTTGCAGTGAAGTAATTTTTAAAATGACTTTTGGGAAATGTGGCTTCACTGACAATGCCAGCATTTGATTCCTATTTCTAATTGCCCTTGAACTGAATGGCTTGCTCGCCCATTTCAGAGGGAAGTTAAAAGTCAATCACTTGGGCGAGACTGGTAAAGACAGCACATTTCTTTCCCTAAAGGACCTTCATGGACCAGGGGAGTTTTTGTGATAATTTCATGGTCATCGTTATGGTGACCAGCTTTATAATTCCAATTCTTTTCTTAACTGCATTTTAGTTTCCATTTCGCTCTAAAATCCCTGAAAGGCATTTAATTTTTTTTTAATTTTAGAAGCAAAATAATTTGAATTTCAATAACCATTTAATTTTTGATTTCAGACAAGCTCAGACCGCTTCAGTAAGCCCAGTCCGAAGGAGCATGTTGTCAAGAATATCATTGGTACGTGAAATGTGGCCTTGTAACTTTTCAGTTTGTTCCTAACATGACTTTCAGATTTTAAAAAGTCTTGTTTAGTACTACCACCAAATAATTAATGGTAGTCCTTTGATGAAAAGGGAGGGAGATAGAGAATATGTTGGATATCTGATGAATTCTTGAAGCGTGCATCAGGTCAAGCAGAATAAGCCAAAAGGGAAACGAGTAAAATGGCAAAGAGTGAATATGAAAATAGAATGACAGTTAACATAAAAAGGATCCCAAATATCATCATCTGGCTTGTGTATGGTAAGAGATGACGGTGATCCCATTAGGGACAAGGAGGATAATATATGCTTCGGTGCAAGGCTGGAATGCCTAATAGTTACTTTGTACGGTGTTTACTACGGAAGAAAATGCTGACAAAATATCCATAAAAACAGTGATAATTGACAATGTAAAAATTATTAGCCAGCATGTACTGGAAAGGGTGACTCAGCTAAGAGTGGGTAGGTTGCCTGCTCCACATGGCTTGCATTACAGGTTGCTAGAGGAAGTGGGAGCGGAGATAGCAGAAATGGTTGCAGTAATTGTCCCTACAACTGGGAGGTGCCTAAAGTTTGGAGAATGGAGAATTTAATGCCGTTTACGAAGAAAAGTTGAGGGTATCCCTTGTAACTACAGACTGCTTAATTTAATCTGAGTGGTGGATAAGAGTTTAGAAACAATAATCGGAGGTTTGAGTTAATTAAGGAGAGCCTGCATAGATTTATGATCAAAAGATCATGTGTAACTGTTTCCATTGACAGTGAAGTAACTAAGTGAGTTGATGAAGGGAAAACAGTAAATGTTGTCTGTTAGGATTTAAAAAAAAAGTTTTACAATGTGCTGGATGAAAAAAGAAACAAACAAACCATCCACCTAGCCAGTTGATTTTATTTTCATGCTCCACTTGAGCCTCCTGTCAGCTTTCCTTCTCTGAATTATCTATTCCCTTCTCCCTCAAATGCTTGCCTGGTTTCACCTTAAATGCATCTATATTATTTGCTTAAACCAATTTACAAACATTGAATCCCATGCTCTGTCCATACTTTGAGTAAGGAAGTTTCTTCTGAATTCGCAATTAGATTTCTTGGTGAGTATCTTTTAAAATAACAGCTTCTAGTTACGCTGTTCCCCATAAGTGATTTGATTTATTGCTACATGTACCTAAATACAGTGAAAAGTTTTTTGCGTGCAATACAGGCAGATCATAATGTACAAAAACACAGATCATAGGGTGATTGAACAGAGTGAGGAATACAAAGTTACGGCTGCAAAGAAGGTGCACAGAAAGCAAGATCAGCATTTGATTTGAAACTTTACGGGTCCGTTCAGAAGTCTAATAACAGTGGGAAAGAAGCTGTTCTTGAACTTGTTAGTATGTGAGTTTAAAATTTTGTATCTTCTGCCTGATGGAAGAGATTATAACTGGGATGGGAGGGGTCTTTGATGTTGGCTGCCTTTCCGCAGCATCGAGAAGTATAGATAGGGTCATTTGATGAAAAGTTGGCTTACATGATTGTCTGGGCTGTGTTCTTAACTTTCTGTAGTTTCTTGTGGTCCTGGGCAGAGCAGTTGCCGTACCAAGCCATGATGCATCCTTTCCTTAAATTCTTTTGATAATATGACAGCCAGAACTGCGTGAGATACTCCTAAGTACTTTATTGCCTAATCAAGGTTCGAATCATTTTTTTTCCTTTATTCATTCATGGGATGAGGGCATCACTGGCTAGGCAGCATTTATTGTCTATCCCTAATTTAGTTAAGAGTCAACCACATTGCTGTGGGTCTGGGGTGACATGTAGGCCAGACCAGGCAAGCATGGCCGTTTCCTTCCCTAAAGGACATTAGTGAACCAGATGAGTTTTTCCGACAATTGACAATGGATTCATTGTCATTCCAAATATTTATTGAATTCAAATTCCACCATTTGCCATGGCAAGATTTAAACCCGGGTCTCCAGAACATTGTTTGCGTTAACAGTCCACCAATATTACAACTAGGCCATCGCCTCCCCTGATACATGCTCGGCATAACTTCAATTCTGTCCCTCTAGAAGTAAAGCATTGTTTTTTGTTTTATGGTCTTGCTAATTGGTGTATATTTTATGGTCTAATGTCTGTGACATACATGATAGTGATTTATGCGTTTATGCTGAAGCTCCATTGTCCCCTACCACACCAAACCTGTGCTTTGCAAATATTATGTGACCTCCCTGTTCTTCCTATGAAAATGCATTACCTCATTTATCTGTTAAATGTCATCTGCCAATTAATTTCCCATTTTGCAATTTTACCTAAGATCAATGAGCAGAAATTTGCTCCAATTAAATAGTGGGGAAGCTGAAGCCATTGTTTTTGATCCTCCTTCAGAACCTGTTGACTAGCTTTTTATTCAATCACTGGACATGGGCATCACTGGCTGGGCGAGTACTTTTTTGCCATCATTAATTTTTATTTCTATTCATTTGTGGGATGTGGGTATCACTGACTGGGCCAGCATTTATTGCCTGTCCCTCATTTCCCTTGAGAAGGTGGTGGTGAGCTGCCTTCTTGAACCGCTGCAGTCCATGTGCTGTAGGTAGACCCACAATACCGTTAGGGAAAGAATTCCAGGATTTTTGACCCAGTGACAGTGAAGGAATGATGATATATTTCTAACTCAGGATAGTGAGTGGCTTGGAGGGGAATTTGCTGGTGGTGTTCCTGTGTGCCTGCTGCCCTTGCCTTCCAAATTGTTGTAGTGCTAGCTTTGGAAGCTGTTGTCTAAGGAGCCTTGGTGAATTTCTACAGTGCATCTTGTAGACAGTAAGGAAAGCCGTTACTGAGTTTTTGTGGTGCATGCTTGTGGATGTGTGCTAATCAAGCAGTGTGCTTTGTCCTGGGTAGTGTCAAGCTTCTTGTATTGTTGGAGCTGCACACCCAGACAAGTGGGGAAGATTCCATCACACCCCCGACTTGTGTGTTGCATTGGTTGGCAAGCTTTAAGGAGTCAGGAAGTGAACGGTTCACTGCATGATTCATAGCTACTGACCTGTTCTTATATCCTCAGCATTTATATGACTAATCCAGTTCAGTTTCTCGTCAATGATAACTCTTGGGATGTTTATAGTAGGGGAGTCAATGGTGGTAATGCTGTGAATATCAAGTGGTGATGATTAAATTTTCTCTTGTCGGAGATGATCATTGGTTGGTACTTATGTGGTGTGGATATTACTTGCCACATCAGCCCAAGCCTTGATTTTGGGCCAAGGTCACTACCCTGAGTAACTAATGCAGAGATAGTCAGCTTTGCTCCAGGCTGACCTTCAACCATCTTCATTTGTGCCAGGTAAGACTCCAAACAGCAGTGTTTTGCCATTGACTCCAGTTTTGGTTGAGCCTCTTCATGCCACATTCTGTTAAATGTAGAATCGATGTCAAAGGCTGTCATTGTCACTTTGCTTCTGGAGTTCAGGTCTTATTACAGCTTTTGTCCAAAACATAGAAAAGAGGTCAGGAGCTGAGTGGGCCTGAGAGAACCCAAACTTGGCCTCAGTGAGCAGGCTATTGCTAAGCAAGTGCTGCTTGATAGCACTCTTGATCTGTTCCATCAGGTTGGATTTGTCCAACTTATTGTGCAGAGGACATACCTGGGCAGTTTTCCACCTGGTCAGGTAGATGCCAGTTTTGTAACTGTACTGGAACAGCTTGGCTAGGGGCATGAAAGTTTTGGAACACTAGTCTTCAGTACTGTTGCTGGAATGTTTTCATGTTCCATAACCTTTACTGTATGTAGTGCTTCCAATCATTTCTTAATATCATATGGCTGAATTGACTGAAAACTGCCATCTGTGATCCTGTGGGCCCTCTGGAGGAAGGTGAGATTGACCATGTACTTTGGTACTTCTGGCTGAAGATTGTTACAGATGCTTCAGCCTTAGCTTGATATGCAGGGCTCCCCCAGTGAGTTGTTTAATTGTCTGTCACATTTCTTGACTATATGTGGCAGGACTGCTGAGCTAAGATCTGAATATTTGGTTGTGGAATTACTTATGCTATGCTTTTGCTGTGTGCACACACGTAGTTCTATTATATAGCTTCAGCAGATTGACACCTCTGTTTTAGGTATGCTGGATGCTGCTCTTGACATGCCCTCCTAAACTCTACTTTGAACCTGAGCTGACCCCCACCCCCTGCTTGAAGGTAATGGTAGAGTGGGGAAATGCCAGGTCATGAGGATGCAGATTCTTTTGGAGTACAGTTTTGCTACTACTGATATATCCCAGGATACTGAGTCTTGAGTTGTTAGATGTGTTTGAAGTCTGTCCCATTTAATGCAGCGTTAGCGCTACAGAACACGATGGAGGGTATTCTCAACGTGAAGGTAGGACATTGTTTCACTCTTACTGATTCTTGGCATGGACAAATTCATCTGCAGTTGGCAGTTTGCTAAGAATGAAGCCAAGTATATATTTCCCTCATTTTGGTTTCCTCACCACTTGCCACACATCATCCCTTGTTAGGCAAGGGATTCAAGGTTATGGGGGTAAATAGGAATGTGGAACTCTGAAAACAAGCAGATTGGCCATAACGTTATTGAAAAGTGGAATAGACTTGAGCCATGTGGCTTATTTCTGTTCTGTATTAATATGTTTGTATTATGATCTAATCTAATATTCACTCATGCTTACTCTTTTATTTTGATTAATAATAAAATCCTCTTTCTTAAAGTTTTCAACTAACCAATTGAGGAATGTGTTACAAATTGCCTGCAGTGAATGGGTTTCTAGCTCAAGTTAATTGCTTTCCTAAAATGTATATTTTATCAGTAATTTTGCATGAATGTATGTTAGCCAATTTCGTTTGGCATCTCTAAAACCTACACTTTTTTTGCCAAATCAGGTGGGCTATCTAATCTTACAGTCTTAAACTTAATCAGGCTAGAATAAGAGTTTCAGTGCCTGGTGTGACCAGTATAGAAATGGATACTACTTGCAACAG